AAAGAGAACAAATACGAAATTATCTGTTTTGAGCAATTTTAATTAAACTACTTTGACATTTTCAATTGCCAATTATTGATAAAATTACTGTAGGAGAAGAAAAGGAAGAATCTGGAGGTGGAGTCAAGAGAGGAATCAGTCGGGAGTTATTACATAACCACAAGTGACCCAAGTCCAAACCCTTCCCCCAATAGAATTCCATTAACTCTTATCTAGCACCAATTTAGTGCTGACCATTAGTTAATTGAATTATTGTGTATAGCCATGAGCAATAAATGTTAACTGAAACTGAATGTGTAGTCCTGATTCTTTGCATCTGACAATTACTAGTAAGCAGGAGTGGGATTCAATTTTTTTAGCAACCGGTTCTGTGGGAGTGGCTTAGTTGGTGGGCATGGCTTGGTGGTCATGTGACTGGGTGGACGTGGCTTGGTGGTCATGTGACTGGCTGGGCATGGCCAACTCAATATCACTCACATCAAGGCACGCATCTCCTCGCATGGCCTCTCGTGACTGTGGGGATGCTGCAACAGTCGTAAGTGTGAAAAATGATCATAAGTCACTTTTTTCAGTACCATTGTAACTTTGAATGGTCACTCCACACAAGCAAAGTACCAGCAAAGGAGGGGAAAAAAACTCCAGAGAAGTTCCAGAGACAGGAAGTCTAGTCCTGCCAAGAATGTAATAAGGATTAATGGAGAGGCAGTTTCTGTAAGCAACACCAGAATGTTTCCTTCCTGCCTTACTTACAGGAATAGGCCAGTAATTTCTTCTAACAACCGGTTCTCCAAACTGCTTAGAATGTCAACAACCAGTTCTAGCGAATAGGTGCGAACTGGTAGAATCCCACCCCTGCTAGTAAGTTAATGGCTAGAACTGGAAGCTAATTATGGATTTTGGCATATTTGATTATATGAAAGTAATTAGAAGCATTTAAACTTTTATTTTGAAGCCACAGATTTAAGCAATTATTGCTGGATATTTCTGCTACATTTCAAAAGAGAAATTTGAATCAGGATGTACTGATTTTATAGGGCATATAATGGTACTATTTAAGCTATCTCTAATATAAAATTGAACAATGTCAAATTTGTATTGTTGGAAGATAAAATTAGGCAGTATATTGTTTTGGATATATCCCTTGAGAGTGAGCCATAAATTAAATTGTAATTTCACACAGAAATCTGTACCATGCACAACAATTAAATCTCCATTCCCTGCTCTTAAAATTTATTAAAATTTATTAAAATTCTCCTCTGATATTTTTTTTTAAATCACATCTGTAGTTGGTTTGCTTTTTTCTTCTTTTAGGGCCAGTCTAATGAAATGAGAAATTATAATTAGAGCACATTTTTTTTCTTGATCCATTTATAATTATTTAAAGACCAATAGTATTTTAAAAATTGCATACTCCCTTCCATTTTAAGAGTACTGGAAATATCACACCAGGCTTAAAGCCAGTGATGCTTCTGTCCTACTATTTATCTCACTCTGAATGTATAAAAGAAAGGGAGATTATTTTTAAGTAAAATGAACAGTCTAGCTAGCATAGCTTCTATATTGTCAACAGGCCTGTCTTCATAGCAGATCTTCTGCCTTTCAGACACAACAGGTCACTGTTAAATCCAATGGTCCTATACCAATGACAGATCATTTTTTTACACTTACAACCATTGCGGGCTCCCCATGGTGATGTGATTAAAATTCAGATGCTTGGCAAATGACTCATATTTATGATGGCTGCAGTGTCCCAGGGACATGTGATCACCTTTTGCAATCTTCTGATGAGCAAAGTCAATGAGGAAACCAAATTCACTCAACAACTATGTTATTAACTCAACAACTGCAGTGATTCACTTAACAAATCTGGCAAGAAAGGTTGTAAAATGGGACAAAACTGACCTAACAAATGTCTCACTTAGCAACATTAATTTTGGGCTCAATTATGATCGTTAAGTTGAGGACTACCTATATAATAATATTAGGATAAAAGATGGCTAATCTGGGGGTGAAAGAGTGGTTGTGTACTATGCTAATTCAGTAATCCAATGCATTTCTCATTTGTTTTGCACCTTTCCCCTAGTTGTACATTTTGTTTTTCTTTTGGGGGGTTTCACAAAGCCCAAACCTCTTTCTGAGGCTTTACAAATACTTAAACCTGGATGACAAATGATAATTGCATGGAAATCTGAGGTGAACTTCCCTTTATTTGATATTAACCCAGCTTAATTGGAGAGTGACATATTTAATTCGAAGAAAATAAGCACCCCCATAGCTTGCAGTTCTCATCTGGTGGATAGCAACTTTCCAATTCAAATCGTTATTAAACCAATGTGATCTCTGAATAATTACGGCAGTCAACAACAAGAGATTTTCTGCACTTTTAAATGCTCGTTTCCCATTTCCTCAGCTAAAGATGAAGCCAAATTAAGAAATCCCTTTCTGGATTTCAACCACTTCCTTTGCTTTGGCTGCAGTCGTGGCTTGGTGTTCTGCCCAACCTAAATTTACCATGACTTCCAGTTTGGTAGATTCCCCTGATTCTTTATCCCTCTTGGATCAATTAAAAAGAAAAAAAAAAGAAAACACCAAACTTCATTATTTTGCCAGTCTCTTATGACAGAAAGAAAAAGTTCTGAGTCTGTTGGTTTTTTTTAATTTTGCATAATTTAAAATTTTTGTTTTTCTACTTATCTTTTCATAACCTGTAAGCTTCCCAGAATCACCTTATTAGAGAAATGGAGGGGAGCAGATATAAAATAAATAAATTATACACATATACATGCACGCGCGCGCGCACACACACACACACACAGTAGTTTTGCCTCATTTTAAAAGCAAAATAAAAAAATCTGCATCCTTCTTTGCCCTGTTCTGTCAACAAACCAGAGGGAACAAAAGAGCAAAAGCCCAATGTTTTACCTCTTCATAAATGGCAGCAGAAAGTATCAATCAATGGCCAGGGATGGGAAGGGAAGGGATGTTCCTACTGCAGATGCAGTAGCTAAGAGGAATGGAAGGAATTGAAATGCATCACAAACATAGGTCATTGTCGGCGTGATTTGAGCTGGCACAAGATGGAAACACTACTTTAGAAGCAGACAAAAATCAGAAAGCAGAGGTCAAAGACTTCATTTGTGGCAAGGATGGATGGGCTGAGGGTGGGTGACATGTGTCTCCCCCTTCAAAAAGGATGAGGCCATGGTGATATTAAGCTGGTTCGCACTGGATCGGGCGAACCGGTAGCAAGAATTTGGCATGGGTCGCCGAACCGGTAGTAAGTTCTGGCTGGCCACACCCCCCCACCCGGTTGCCCTCCCGCCCGATGCTCTCTCACCCCGCCCTCCTGCCTGACATTTGCCTAAGGTATTTCTTTCTTTTATTCCCCTCCCGATAATCCACTGTAGTTAAGATCCCCATGGTAAAGCCCAGGAAGGCAAAAATGGAGGGAGGAGCTCAGCCCCCGCCTCCATTTTTTGCCTTCCAGAGCCCCAGAGGAGCCTTAGGGGAGCAAAAATGCCCCCCCCCCCGAGGCTTCTCTGTGGCTAAGAAGCTCCCCAAAATGGGTGGGGGCTGCAAAAAAAGCCACGCCCACCCAGTCACATGGCCATGCCCAGCAAGCCACGCCCACAGAACCGGTAGTAAAAGTTTTTGAATCCCATCACTGGGATGAGGGGCTTATGACGGAAATGAAAAACTCTCCTATAGTTTCCCAAAAAACTGTGCTGTAACAGATCTCCCATAAATTCTGCCCTTCTTTATACATACTAACTTCCTATAGCTTTGCAACATAATTTAAGTAGCCCATTTCAACCATCAAATATGACCATGCACACTTCACATTAGCATCAGCATATTGTGCAAAACCAGCAATGTTCAACCTATCCACTGTGGCACTCTGGGCTCAAAGCCATATCAGCTAGGCACACACTTTCAAGTCCTTGCTTCTTCTGAGCTATGTGGTGTCATTTCTAAAGGGCAGGAGAGAGAAAAAGCTAAATTGTAAAGTATTTTTCATGGTTGTCTTCACATAACATTAGCAAAGAAAAGAACATTACAGCAGAACCAACAGACTTGGTCTGGCTTTTTTGTATGTAAATTTTCTGGCTGCTTCTCAGTCAAAACACACTTTTCTCCCTTATGGATAATGCATAGACTGTGACATCCTATGAAATAAAAAAAGGGACATGAGAATGAAATCCTAGAATTGCAACACCACTTCTAAGCCAAGAAATGGAAAAAAGGAGAGAAGGAAGGAAGAAAGGAAGACATCTCCATTTGCCAAAATAATAATCATAGTTAATAATAATTTATGTTATTATTAATTAAAACTACATTGGTCTTGCTCCCACAACAAACATAATTATTAGAGTAACACTTTGAAACTGAATGGAAAATAGTGCAAACTTATTCTGTGATGGGATTTTCTGATACTAGCATTTAAAGGCAATGATAATCTCACTGGCAATTTCTTAGAGGTGTGATACTTTTGCCATACATGACAACATGATAAAATATGTGTTGCTATGCCAAATCATATTTTAAAATAAGGTAAATTAACAATATACAGTATTCCTAATTAGATTAATTTACCTTGCTTTTGTTTCATTTTTTGAAGACGCATATCAGATAGGATAAATTCAAAAAGAAAAAAATATACTATAAAAATGTTCACATCACTTCTAGGTTCAAGACTGCTGCAACTAGCTCTGTTCCTTTGTTTTTAATTGCTGCAATATTCTATTCATTTTAATTATTGCTGACTGTCGTAAATAGTTTGTAGCTACAAGGAGGCAACCATACAAATTCAGAAACCAAAATGGGAAAGAGAAAGAGGGGGAAACATTCTTGTAGATATCTTGTTGATAGAAAGACATAGCACAAGTTCATCAAAACTGTCTAAACACTGTTATTAATGTAAGTGCACAAACCTAGTAAGAAGAAACACAACTGATTGAATCTATTAAGACAAAGGGGGGTTCACACAACCACTTACTTACACTTTTACTTCTGACAGACAGGGAGTTTGTATCCTTGCTCATGATGTTGCAGTTGCTGATCTGGCTGGTATTTTAGCAGCAGAAGTTCCAACAGGAGCAAATTTCACCTAATGCAAAGAAAATATACTATTATAGTTTCCACACAACCTTTCAAGGTACCGTGTTGCTAAACTCCAGGGTTCTCCTAACAAAGTGTTTTTAATGGTGCTAAACTACCATTCCCATCATCCTAAGCAACATGAATTTCCTAATGGATCAGCCAAATGAAACAAGGCTGCTGTATTAATTTGGCACCAAGAGCTTTTTGAGGTAGCATATCAACATCCTCCAAACAAATTAGGTGAGTGTTTTCCATTTGAGATGGTGCCTTTATGTGAACTTTAGCACAATGCATACTTAGAACTATGTTCCAATTCTCTGAATCCATATTAGTAATTTATAATTTGTAAAACATATGTAAAACACATTCCCCAGGGACGGTAAATCTATTTGGTAAAAGAGAATGCAATTAGGATCTAAAACTGCAACACAAGACCATGTACGAACATGAAACATAAAGAATTAAAATGAATTAGAACTCCAAATGTAAATGGGATTTGGTCCCAAACAAATGGATACAGGATTGCGACGTTCTTTAAACATTTTTTGACATTTGTATAAACACTTGGCCTTAAAGCTGAGGACATTCTTTTCCAACTGATAAACAGAAAGACTTAAGCATAAAATAGACTTTGTTTATAAATTAAACAAATTAAATTAAACATTTAAAGTTATATACGGGTGACACTAATATCGTGTACTGACTCCCTCTCTCTCTCTCTCTGATACACACATACAAGCACATGCATGCACAGACACAAAGGAAAACACACTTGCACTTGCATTCCTATGAATGAAGCCTGATATATTCATTCAAGAGTGATGCACTGAACAGTTTCAATTACTGTCCCTTCTTGTTATCTTTCTGAAAGAGATTAGTAAAGATATATCAAAGGTGCTTTTTCGAAACATTGGACAATCATGACCTGTATGACTGAGAATCTCCATAGACATGAATGAGGATAATTAATTTGGTATTTGTAAACAGCAATGGATCAAGCCCAGTATTTCCTAGTCAAACCACAGAAAATTACAATGATCTAATACATATCGATTTTACAGTTGAAAAAGCACTGCTCAATCCAAAACGATCTCTATCTATTGGACCGGACAGAATACGTGCCTACTTCTTAAAAAAGCTATCCACTGCCATAGCCGAACCTCTAAGCATAATCTTTGAAAAATCTTTCAGGACCAGCTCCTTGCCAAAACTATGGTCACAAGCCACGGTCATCCCCATCTTCAAAAAGGGAGAACCCAGCCTAGTTGAAAATTACAGACCAATCTCTTTATGCTGCGTCACCTATAAAGTCATGGAATCAATTATTAACCAATCCATTATCCTCCACTTAGAGACAAACAACCTACTCTCTAATAAACAATTTGGATTCAGAAAAAAACTATCCTGTAATCTGCAACTCTTACACTGCAAAAACATATGGACTACACAACTCAATCAGGGCAAAGCAATAGACGCAATCTGCATAGACTTCTGTAAAGCCTTTGATTCAGTGATACACGACAAACTATTCCTAAAAACTAAGGTCTTACGGTATCTCTGGACACCTACATAACTGGATAGAAGCATTCCTGTCAAACAGACAACAAATGGTCAAAATTGGGAGCGTCCTATCAAATTCTGTACCTGTCAACAGTGGTGTCCCCCAAGGCAGTGTTTTAGGACCAACTCTCTTCATAATCTACATAAATGACCTCTGTGATCATATTAAGAGCAACTGCGTTCTCTTCGCTGATGATGTAAAGCTATTCAGCACCACAGACAATACTATTACTCTCCAAAAAGACCTCGACCATGTATCAGAATGGTCAATCAAATGGCAACTTCACATCTCAACAAATAAATGCTCTGTCTTACATATTGGCAGAAAAAAATCAGAAAATAAAATACAAGCTAAATAGTCAAGACCTTGTTGAGGATCCAAACTTTGTCAAGGACCTTGGAGTACTCATCTCAAATGATCTGAGTGCTAGAGCCCGCTGTAACTACATAGCCAAAAAGGCATTAGGAGTTGTTAATCTAATCCTACGTAGCTTTTTCTCTGGTAATATCACACTACTAACCAGGGCATACAAAACATTTGCTAGACCAATACTTGAATACAGCTCATCAGTCTGGAACCCATATCATGTATCTGATATTAACACAACTGAAAAAGTCCAGAAATATTTCACAAGAAGAGTTCTCCGCTCCTCTACTCATTGCAGAATACCTTATGCCACCAGACTTGAAACTCTAGACCTAGAAAACCTAGAACTACTCCGCCTCCGGTCCGATCTAAATATAATATATAAAATCATACATTGCAATGTCCTACCTGCAAATGAATACTTCAGCTTTAATCATAACAATACAAGAGCACACAATAGATACAAACTCAAGGTAAACCACACCAAACTTGACTGCAGAAATACGACTTCAGCAACAGAGTGGTCAATGTTTGGAATACTCTACCTGACTCTGTGGTTTCTTCCCCAAACCCCAAAAACTTTAACCTTAGACTGTCTACTATTGACCTCACCCCTTTCCTAAGAGACCTGTAGAGGGCGTGCATAAGTGCACCAATCCTGCCTACTCTCCTGTCCTATTCTTTTTTTTTCCTTATAAGTATCTATCTCATATATTCAAAACTATATTTATTCTTATACCTGTATCTTGTAAGCGATTGACAAATCAAATAAATACTAAATATTTTTGGAGTATGAATTTCACCATATTATTCAAAGCCCAAATGTAGTTTTCAGTCTGAGAGAGGCTGTGCAACAAACTCAGATAAACATCTCTTTTCACTTCAAATAGCAGGATTAATCCATTCTATAGTTTGACTAATTTTTACATCAAGAACTCTGTGAGACAGAGCCATCTAAAACAATTATCTTGGTTAATTTAAAAGATGCACAGCAAGAAAGATGGACCAATTATTCGTGTGTCAGTAAATAATCCGTCCATACTTTAAACCCAATATTTAAGGTTACAGACAAGATGTTGTTTCCAAATGAAAATCTTAACACATAATCTTTCTGCAGCAAGAAGGAAGAAAAAAATTATTAGAATAGCTCAACATGCTCGGTCTGAGTCATCCATTGATCAGCACTGGATTGGCAAGATACAATATTTGCTTTCTTTAAAACACAGCTGGAAATGCTGTTTACAGATGTTTGATTTTTCGAACACATCAGAAGCAAGCTTAAAAGGTGAGAGAAAAGATCACAGCAGCCCTGCTGATAAAAACTACCACTGAGAAAATCATATTCATGTGCAATGTATGGTTACAAAGCAATTTAGGAAGTATTTGAACCTACATGACTCTGATGATGTTATGAACTAGCAATAAGAGATAAAGGCATATGGAAATCACAGCCTATTAGCAGCAGGTAGTAAAGACTAGCATCAGAATCAGGACTTAATTGTTTTAAGGAAAAACTGAACCTGTATATTGGATTTGCTTCTGAAATTTACTGATGTTATCCAATGTATGCTGGCTTGACAGCTGTGGACAGAAAGACATTACAGAGGGTGGTGAGCACAGCACAAAACATCGTGGGCTGTTCCCTGATGCCACTAAATGACATCGCTCAGGCTCGCTGCCTTAGAAGAGTGAGGAAAATTCTCAGAGACGACTCACATCCCGGTCAGTACTTTTTCACTCTCCTATCATTGGGTAGGAGATATAGAAGCATAGCCAGCCGCACCAACAGGCTGAAGAACAGTTTCTACTGGGCTGTCAGGAAAATAACTTCATGGCAACATAGTATGACAGACTTGTAGGGCTGGTGTGTTGTGCAACAAGGTCACATAGTGTAATAAGTTTGGGACTAGGTTTGGGACTTCTGTCCTCACTGTGAGTAGTGTTGGGGGGGGGGGGGCACGAGGAAAAAACAGCCAATCTCATTGTTCACAAGTTGTACTATTAGAACAAAGGTAATAATAATAATAATAATAATAATAATAATAATAATAATAATAATAATAATAATAATAATAATAATAATAAAATGTGGAAAGAATGAATATAATCCAAAAACTAGTCCAAAGGATAGACATATTTTTATATTAATTATTATTTTAATACTAGGTTTCAGTCAGTTCCTTATTTGGCACATTCTGGTCTCTCTGAGGGAAAACTGAGCTTTTTAAGAAAGATATTTTGGGTGTATTTTGTGGGGTAGTGATGAGACATTTCTGGTTGAGTCAGATTTGGGAAAAACTGGGTTCATTTTTGTGGCTTTCACTCTGCCTACTGGATTTTTGCTTGTTATGGATTGTATGTCTGCACTTTCAAAAAGGGTCTCCTTTAACGTTATTCCAGCAAGAGGAACTCTATGAGGTAGGTTGATAATTGGTCAAGTCATTGAGTGAGCCCCACAGCTGAGAAGGGTTCATACGTAGATTTCTTCAACTTTTTATTCACTTACTGCGTATTTCATACTACTAATTCATACTCAAATATTTGAATTTTTTGATGCACAACTTATAAACCCTTTTTAATTTTTATCTGCAAAAATAGCAGGAAATTACTGTTTCTTGGCATTTCCGGGTGACACGCAACATTGTGATTTCTGAAGTCTGACAGGGAAGTACAAAAAGTCTGGGAATAAGTTGCTCACACCTTTCTTAACTAGACAACACAGCAATATTGTTGGACAAAGAAGAACAATAATGGACGGTGAATGTATGAATGAGGCTTCATACAGTGTTAACAGTGTTACCTTAGTAGATATGGGACAGAACATATAGCTGAGATTATTGAATCCAATCCCAACACTTTTGGTTGTAGAGTTTGAGTTCCATCCAGGGGTGGGTTTCTACCGGTTCTGTCCACCTCTGTAGAACCGGTAGCTCTGAAGAGCAGCAGACATAGAACCGGTTCTATGTCTGCTGATGTTTTTGCCTGCCCGCCCACCCGAGTTCTTACCTGATCTTTATTTCCTGATTTTTCAACTTCAGCTGCCAAACAAGGCACAGCTGCAGTTAAAAAAGCAGGAAAAG